CCCTAGTAGCTTTCCTTGACCCTCAGGGAAACCCCCTCAGTGAGCTAAGGAAGAGGTAGGAAGGCCTGGTATGGGGCCTGGGCTCTGCTCCGCCTCCCCCACCCCAGTGTCCAGCAGGAGTAGAGGAGGAGGAAGTCTGCAATCCCACCCACCAGCCAGGAGGGAAGGGAGCAGAAAGAGGTACTGCTGAGGAGAGGTCAGGAGGCCAGGCAGGCCCAGGAGCAGCAGGAGAGGACCTGGGTCCAGGGCCGCCTTTCCTCTCCCTCCCTCACATACAGAGTCCAGGACACCTGGCCCACCCCACTGACCTCCACTCTGAAGCACCACTTTGTGATACCCAGGCTGGGGTCTGCCCAGGCTGGGGACCATGGAGGGATGAGGGGAGGGGGCTGGGGCAGGAGATACCCCTTGTCTGGGGCCAGGTATAGGTACCTAGGGCCAGCATGCAGTTCTCCCCAGAGAGACCTAGGGGATGGCAGGGGGGATGGATAACCTGCTGGTGCCAATGGCTCCATCCCTGCTCCAGTCCCACTTTTCATCACTCTTTGCTCTTCCACTCCCAGCCTGTCACAGAGGGCCGGTTCTCTCTCCCAATCCACCATCTTAGGCATCAAGGGCTTCTCTAGGCCCACTGCAAAGCCTGTGGTGCCACCTGGTGGCCATATCTGGGGAGGACAGACAGGCTGACACCAGGGATTAGAGGAGACCTTCTGTCCCCTCACAGGCTCCCCAACCCCTTCCACCCTGCTGTGCCGTCCCTAGGGCTCCTGGACCTCACATGGTGTCCTTCTACCTGCTCCAGCCACTGTGCCCACAGGTGTTTCTTTGGGGTGTGGGAGAGCTGGGCCTCACTGACCTCTACTTGGGGGTGTGAGGGATGTAGAATTAGCAGCACAGCTGAGTTGGAGTGACAGTGAATCCTCACCACAGCTCTCTGGGAGGCAGGGGTGGGTGGGGGGTCCTACTATCATTTCTATTTTATGTATGGGAAATTGGGCTCAGGGATGTTAAATAACTTGTCCCAGAATACAGAACTAGTAAACAATGGTGCCAAATTATGAACCACACATCTGGAAATCCTGCTGGATGAGGGGACCTGTGCCATCCACAGCCTCAATCTCAGAACAATAGCTATGCCTGGAAGAAGAGAGTGGAAAGAACAGTATATTTCGAGTTTTGCTAGAGCTCTGCCGCTAACTTTCTGTGGGACTCTGCAAGGTCATTCCCTGCCCTGGGCTTTCTCTACACAAAGTAGGCAAACCAGGCAATCCCATGTGCCGGAGCTGGAGCCTGGCTCTGGGCTTGAGGTCCAAGCTACTGTCTCTGGGCTGGCTTGGGCTAGCTGCAGCAGCTCTCAGCTTGCACAGAAAGATGCTGAGTGAGGCCTTGGCGTTCTGATGGGTAATGCTGGAAATGGGCCCTCAAAAACTACAGGTCAGCATTCAATGCTATCTCATTTTTGCCCCGACTCTCCCCCTCCCAGGAAGCACCTTTGGAAATTCCCTTAAAACCGTTGTCTTCCCCTTTGAACATAGCCTTCAAAGCCCTCCTCCCACTCCCTAGGAATGCCAGGCTCCAGCCCCCTCCGGCTTCCTTCTAGTGGTCAGAAGGTGCTTTCCTTGGCCCAGACTCTGCAGGATCCCTCTACTCTGGGAATGTACTCCCCTCACCTGTTTGCCTGGAAGTCTCTGCCTTCCAGCCCTTGGCCCAAACCAGCTTGGGTGCCTGTGTCAGTTGTATATGTCCCCGTGGCACCCAGCATGGACTTATTCGGTAAAATCAGTTCTCTGGTAAGCCTTGCAAAGCCAGGCAGCCTGTTAATATACCACCAGGGTCTGCTCTGCACATGGCATGTGGTAGATACTCTAAAAACCTAAGAACTTCTTGCACAGCCTAATGTGACAATCTGTCGCTGACTACTCAGATTTCCTCAGTAACAAGACACTTGGCCCCACACTTGCTTTTATCCACGCTCCTAACCCTGCACCCCATCACCCTATAGAGGCTGCTGCTGGAGGCTCCTCAAGTCTTGACTCCAGCTTTCCCTGCTGACCACTGCGTATCTATGTCACAGTCCCCATCTATGTCCCCATCCTGAGGAAGGTGCCTATCCCATTGCCACAGCCCCACCCATGCTGTACTTACCTCCTCTGGGCAGGAGACCACAAGCCTGAAGAGAGGGACACATCAAATGTTGGAAGGAGGGAGGGAGGCTCAGCCCCACCTTGGCCAGAGAATATGAGAAGCACAGAACAAGTAGGAAGAGACCCTGGGGGTGGCCTTGTCCAACCTAGTCACACACAAAGGAGTAAACAGAGACGTGTACGGAGAGGGGACTTGCTGAAGTCTCTCACAGCTGAGGTTAGAGGCCAGGTGTCTTGGCCTGGGGCTCTTATCTGTGGTCCTGAGTGTTGCAGAAGGGGACTCCACAGAGGCAGGAGAGTCCCTGACTCAACTCCAAACGTGCTTTGGTCCTTTGAGACTCAGCACTATTGGTTGTGGGGTGGGACCCAAGGATGGAGTGGGAGGATTCCTCTAGACAGCAGACTTTCCCCCTCTTGCCCCTTGGGTTATTTCTGTCCTCCCAGGCCAGACTCTTGCTCCCTGGGGAGTTTAGATCAGGGGTCCTCAAACTTTTTAAACAGGGGCTCAGTTCGCTGTCCCTCAGACCGCTGGAGGGCCGGACTATGGACCCTGGGATGAGTCAGCTACAGGACATGCAGCAATGGCAAAAACATCTGGCAGGCCAGATAAATGTCCTAGGCGGGCTGCGTGTGGCCCACGGGCCATAGTTTGAGGACGCTTGGTTTAGATCCTAGCAACTTGGCAACAAGCTTCTTACCATTATTGCTATTAAGATAGTCAGATAGTAATCATCCATTACTATTCTAACAGCAATTGAGCACCTGCAGGCACTCCCCACACACGTCTTCATTTAATTCCAACAAGCCCTAAACATAGGTATTAACTGCCTTCATAGGACAGATGAGGACAACGAGGTTTGCAGCAAGGAAGTGGCTGCTGTACTCCTCCTTGCATCCCTTAAAACTTCTCTTCCTGGCTGGCCTCCAGACAGCCACAGAAAGTGGTCCAGGAGGTTTCCAGGATGGTGGCTATGCTGGTTGGGTCTGCACTCTGCTCCCAGACGCCCTGCAGGGCGTGCTGTGTCTGCTGCTCCTTAGTCAGCTTCTTGGCCTGCAGCTTCTGTAATAGGCACCTGGAGCCAGAGCGGGTAGGTGGCAGGCTCCATGAGCTGCTCTCACCCGCAGCCACTTCCTATTCAGGTCCCCCCTGTGAACAGATTTCAACCCAGGGAATGTGAGCCCCTGGTTTAGAGTCTGGGCCCCACTGTGTCTCTTCTGAATCTCTCTCCCCCCAAACATCTGGGGCTGCTATTTCTGTGCCCATGAGGACACCAGACCCTATTCGTGGGGTTTGGTCGGTTGAGGTGTGGTGATGGGAGTCTACTTGGCGTAATTGGAAAGCGCTTCTCTCTGCTACCCAAAAGCATCCCTTAAAGGGGGCTGGAATTCACCCTTAGTTTAGGGCTGGAGAAGATGGGAGACTCTTGTCTGGAAAATGCCAATCTCTCATGGTTATCATGGACAGGGCATGAGGTTCCTGGTCCTTTTGCTTACTAGCTCATTTAGTCCTCTCATGGGTCTAGAAGCAGGGTGGCCTGATTTGGGCACAGGTTCTGAGAATGGGGCCAACTTGCCCAGGACTATATAGCAGGTGGCCAAATTGGAACAAGAAGCAGGTCAATTCCTGGTGGAACTTTTAGCCATCTAACCAGAGACCAAAGGACAAATGCCCACTCCTTTGGGCACATTCAAGGTGTTTTGCCTACTGATGTCACCTGGGAACCCTACTCTGCAGCAACCTCAGACTCACCTCCAATGAGTGCCCCAAGGATGCAACACAATCTCATCCACACCGGGCTCATGTGCTTCCTTCTCTGTCCCTAGACACCTTGTTCAGCTCTGCAGACCCTCCCTCCTTAGCACATTCAACGTGTTGCATCTAAAATGACTTCTTCCCCACTGCTCCCTCTCTCAGGGTGGCACCCATCCCTCTTGGCTGACACCCAATCCCAAAGACCATTGACTTTACCTCCTTCTCCCAAAATACCCCTTTCTTACTGGCTTCTCTGTCTGGAACTTCCTCTTTTCTTTCTTTCTTTCTTTTTTTCTTAATATATTTACCTGGAGGGATTTGGAAAACTTCTTCTTTTCCTTTATGACTCTAATTTCTAATTTATCCCCTGGGGCGCTGCCCAGGTGTCACCTCCTCCAGGAAGCCTTCCCTGATTCCCCTGAGTTGAGTTAGGTATTCCATGAAAGCATTCCCATGACACCCTGTGTTTACCTAGGCTAGTACTGACTCAACTGTAATGCAACTGGCCAATGCCCCTTTGACCAGGGCTTCCTCTAGGGCATAGAACATGTTGTGTTCTCTTAGCACCCAGATGAGGTCTAGCACCCAGTAGCATTCCATAGCTATTGGGTAAGGGAATTGATAAATTCACAAAAAGTAATGCTTGGGAAACCCTGAGGCTTTGGGGCTGGGAAAATATCCAAAGGGAAGAAGTGAGCCAGACTGTGAGGTCTCCTCTTCCACATCAGGACTCCCCCACCTAGCCCAGCACAGGCCTGCTGCCATCAGCTGGCATTAGCAGAACAATGCAGGAGACCCAGAGGGGAGCCAGTTACATCAGCACCAGATGTTAGCAGTGTTCAAAGCGTGTTCACCCGCAACGTTGTGAAGCAGGTGGACAGGAATCTCATCCCATTTAAGGAGAGTCCAAGACCCAGGGTGGTTAAGGGAGGTGCCCAAGGTCCTCCACTAGGGCAGTGCTACCCTTCTGACTACCAGTAGAGTCTGACCGACCAACCGCCTGTTCTCACCAGATGTTCTTCCGCTGCTGCACCCTAGGGTCACCACTCATCAGCTCTGCCATGCTCTCCTTCACCTCTCAGCTCCTGCTGGCTCCTGTGCAGCTATCGCTGCAGAGCCCAGGAAAGCTGGCCCACCTGGCCCAGGGCCCTCTTCACCTCTGAGACGTGTTTAACTACAACTCCCAGCCTCTGCTCCAGCCTCTGGCTGGCCCCCTGGGCCTCCCGTACGCCTCTCTCCAGGGCCTGGAGTATTTCCTGGGTCTCCCGGAGGCTGGAGGCCAGGGACTGGATAAGGCACTCCAGATGGGAGCCTGATGCCTGGGCCCGGGCCAGTGATCGGTGGAACAGCCTCAGGGGCTCCTGCTCCAGGTGGGCCAGCCTCTCCTGCAGCATGGCCAGCTGGCGCTGCAGTTCCACCCTGGCCTGGAGCAGCTGGGCCAGTCTTCCCCGGTGGGCTTTGGCCAGAGCCTTGTGACTTCTCGGAGCTTCAGCCCCAGTTGAGCCTGTACCATCTGAAGCTCAGCCAGCTCTTGCTCTAGGACTCCCAGGTCACGGCTCTGTAATCCATCAAAGCAAGGGGTCACTTTCCCATGTGAGAAACACTCTGCGTCATTGCTGCATTCTCAATCGTTGGTGGCCACCTCAGACACACATCACATTCTCCTGCCAGCCCCTGGGACAGGTATTTTATGCACTTTTAATTCTCAGATCTATTTGAAAGGGGTATATTTTTGGTACCTACTTTAGTGATAGGAAGTCGAGGTTCTGAGAAGTAATTTGTCCCACATCACATAGCTAATGAACTTGAATTCAGACATTAGTCTGACACCAAAGCCCATAATTTACCTACCCTATTCATTATTTATGAAATTTCTGAGTATCTGTTGTGTGCCAGGAAATATTTTAGGCCTGGAATTAGAGCAACGAACACAAAAAGACCAAAACAAACAAACAAACAAACAAACAAACAAAAAACAACCCCAAATCTATCCTCATGGAACTTACATTTCCATTGGGGGAAACATACAAGGGAAATCAGTAAAATAAATGTGTCATATAATGATAAACGATTGAGAGAAAGATGAACCAAGGGAAATGGACAGAGACCGCTGGCAAAGAGGGAGGCTGCCAGGAAAGCCTCACAGAGACGGCGCTGCTTGAGAGCTGACCTACAGGAGGTGTGGGAGGAAGCCAGGGAGGCACCTGGAGGAAGCCAGGCACAGGCACAGGGAGAACAAGGAGACCATGGGGCCGCAACTAAGGGGGCCGAGACCAGTAGCTGGGCTCAGAAGGTACAGAGGGCCTGAGAAAATGTGACTGGATACAGTACTCAAGCCTAATGAAAAATGTCAATTCTTTGAAATTCTCACTTTACTCAACCGTGGTAGGTTCCTCATTTACTCCATGATCATCACGCTCACTTCATAGACCCAATCATGGCAAGTGGCACGTCAGGAGGGGTTGCCCACTCTTATTTATAGTAGGAGGAAATTGAGGCCCAGAGAGATCAGACAACTTGTTCACAGCCATTCAGACAAGTAAGCAGTAAAACGAGGGCAAAAACTCAGAACCTTGTTCTCTGAGAACTGGATTCCTTCCTATTTCTGCACCCCACTGCCCATCTGTAGCCACAAAGCCTCTGCCTCAGGTGGGCTTCTTGGCCAGAGCAAATAGTGAATTCCCCCACAAGGATGGTCTGTCCCTTTACCATTCTAGGATTTGGGAGGTGGAGGTGGGAGGGATAGAAATAGGGCTGATCTTCTTTCTTGTTTGTATGTGGGCAGGTTAAGCCAGTCCGTCAGAAGCTCTAACTTCCCCAATGAGAGAAACCCATACTAACAGAAACGCAGAAAAACAGAAACAAAAAAAGACACAACCAAAAGACACAACAGCAAAAAGACAAACCAGGAGGCAGCGAAGCTGAGGGCAACCTCTGATTTAAATATAAAAGGAAGTGACTGGCTGTAGAGGCCAGATCAGGAAAGTCAGAACACACCTGACTTCCACTGGGGCTGCAGGGCTGCAGGCCAACCAATGTCTCTTCAGGGTGAAGTCTGGACTCAGCAGAGATGTTAGTGGAGTCCCTGATGTTCTTGCCCCTGACATGGCAGGGGATTTGCCAGGATTTGGGGGCAGGGTCCAACATGGGTTCTAGGACTCACACTCTGTCACTAAACCTGCTGTGACTTAAGCAAGGCCCTTCTTATCTCTCGGCCTCAGTTTAGCTTCCTACTCTGTAAAATCACAGTGATGGGCTATTGCAGGAGATGGTTCCCCAGTGATGGTTCTGGCTGTTTCTTAAGGCGGTGAGGGGGGGAGATTAGATTTTCAAGTCTCACTCCAGAGTTAGTAAGGATTTTTCCAGAGGATTATTATTATTATCAATGGAAATATTAGCATTTAGCACCCAGAATATTTTGATATGTATTGAAATTTGGGAACAACTGCTCAATGGTGTCCCTACTCTCACCCAGGACTAGCTACATGATTTGCAGTTCCAGTGTAAAATAAAAAAGTGGGAGCCTTTTTTGTTAAAGTTATTGAGAATTTCA